CCCCAAAACCCCAAAACCCCAAAACCCCAAAACCCCAAAACCCCTTGCACTTTTAATAAGATTGAAAATAATATTATTATGGCCGTGTTAAAGAAAATCACTCTTTTTTGTGTATTACTGTGATTTATGCTTACTAATGCTGCGGATGAAACAGAAGATGAACTTGTTTTCACAATGCTTATTACTAGACATGGAGCAAGAAGTCCTACTGACCAAGTCCCAAGTGATGCATCTATTACATCAGATTCTTTCAAAATTTATCTTGGAGATCTCACTCATAGCGGAGAGCGTCAACATTACTTGGAAGGAACAAAATTCAAAAAGATTTATGCTGAAGATGAGGAAATTATCGACAAAAACTTCAATCCAAACGAGTTCTATGTTGAGAGTACTGACTTCAACAGGACATTAATGAGTGCTTATTCCCAAATGTTGGGGTATTTTCCAATTGGTTCTCTCCCAGAATTAAGCAAAGCCCATACTACAAAAGCCAATCCTCCTTTTAAGTTTAATGGAGATAACAAAGTGACCAAGAGATTGAGGAACAAAGCCACGGAGTCATCATTCCAGCCTGTTCCAATCCATGTGTCTGGGCTTGATGATATAATGAGAGCTATGGATAAGGATGTATGTCCATACCAGTCAGTTTTGAGGAAGCAGTATACAGAAACAGATGAGTGGGAAGAACTCAACAAGAAATACCAACAACTGTTATTCCCTGAACTACACGAAAAATATGGAATCAAAGAGGAAAATCTTGACTTTAGTGCATCCTATACTTATATTGATAATTACTACAGTGCTTGGTTCGAACAAATGGATATTGAAAAGGAGCTTTCTCCTGAAGCAAAAACACTAGTTGATGAGATTTTGAGAGACGGACTCTACGAAGGCTTTTATGGATTAGATTTAGCTGTTAGGCTAGCTACTACTAGATTCTTTGACTTTTTGAGACAAACTTTGGCTTATAAAATTAATGCAGTCCTTGAAGTGAAAAACACTCCCGAGTTTTATAAAGAAATCAAATACATGTATTTGTCCTCTCATGACACAAGTCTTACTGCCATTATGAGTGGGTTGCAGCAAAAACAGGATGAGCCACCATTCTTTGCTTCAAACATCATTTTTGAGCTAAGAAGAAAGAAAAACTCTAATGCTAACGATAAAAGTGATTTTACTGTTACTGTCAAATGGAATGGCAAAGATGTCAATCTCGGAGGTAAAGATATCTGTGAAAATTCTGCTTGTCCATTTCCTATAGTCAATCAATTCCTTGAGAGCAGACTTTATGATGGAAACTTAGATCATACCTGCAAATATGGACCTTCGTCAACATCTAAAAGCTCTGCCTGGCTGTTTGTTTTACTTGCGATAGCTATCTTTATTGCTCTCTCAAATATTGGTTACTTTGTGATGAGATCTATCAATAATAAAAAGAGAAACCAAGGAGGTAAAGCAGGCTATAATGGATTTGAAGATGAAGAGAACTCCTTGAAAAATGATATCAACAAATCTAAATCAACTATCTCAGCCACTTCAAGATATATGGATGAGAATAGTGATTAAAACAGATAAAATTTAGAATTGTTTCAATTATATTAATTCAACTAGGGGTTTTGGGGTTTTGGGGTTTTGGGGTTTTGGGGTTTTGGGGTTTTGGGG